AGAGACTGATCTTCATTCAACAAGGTTAAGTTTTCGTGGTCAAGTCCATATCTCAGATACTATAAGCAATAGGTCTAGTATATTTGGTATATGGAAGGATTGTAAGGTGAACATGTCCAACTGGCAGGTGTCATTTGACCTTGACCTCATTTTCATGGTTCAGTGGTTATAGTTAAGTTTTTGTGTTTTGGTCTGTTTTTCTTATACTGTAAGCAATAGGTCTACTGTATTTGGTGTATGGAATGATTGTAAGGTGTACAGTACTACCTGTGCCTTTATCTTATTAATGGTGGCCATAAAAATTACGTCCATCATTATACCACCTGTTGCTTAATTAATACACAAGGTATTAATCAAAAACTAGTCAAGGATAAAGGGAAATCATGACTGCATTGAAGTGTTCAAATTATATAACTTACAGGTAAAGTGTCTCAGGTAAAATATATGTGTTTGTCAAATTTAATTACTGTGATTATGACAAGAAAATTCAAAAATAAAATGAAATAATAAAACAAAGTTGAACCATATATACCTTAATAAAAAAAAAATTGAAAAAATTGTTTCATGACTATTTGTTTTGATGTTATACCAGAGACATATATACACAATGTGTATATATGTCTCTGGTTATACCTTTTAAATAATTCTATCAATTTAAGTAATATTTTACATGTATTTTTTGGCAAGTGAAGAATAAATGAATATCATCTTCTAATATAATGCAAACTTTCACAATGCCTGCTTTTTATACGACCGCAAAAAAATTTTTGTGGTCGTATATTGGTATGACGTTGGCGTCTTCGTCGTCGTCGTCGTCGTCCGAAGACACATTAATTTTCGCACTCTAACTTTAGTTTAAGTGAATGGATCTCAATGAAACTTTACCATAAGGTTCAATACCACAAAAGAATTGTGGGGATTGATTTTGGGGGTTATGGTACCAACAGTTAAGGAATTAGGGGCCAAAAATAAGCATTTTTGTAACTTCCAGACATAACTTGTGTGTAAGTGTATGGATCTCTCTGACATTGTACCACAAGGTTCCATATCACAAAAGGAATGCTGGGATTGATTTTGGGGGTAATTGCTTCCAAATTTTAGGAATAAGGGGCCAAAAAGGGGCAAAAAACAAGCATTTTTCTAGTTTCCAGACAATAACTTGTGTGTAAGTGTATGGATCTTTATGAAATTGTACTACGTGTACAAGGTTCCATATGACAAAGGGAAAGCTGGAATTGAGTTTGGGGGTAATTGCCCAAAAATTTTAGGAAAAAGGGGCCAAAAAGGGGCCATAAGCATTTTTACAGTTTCCAGACAATAACTTGTGTTCAAGTGTATGGATCTCACTGAAATTGTACTGCAAGGTACCATACCACAAAGGGAAGGCTGGGATTGATTTTGGGGGTAATTGCCTCAAAACTTAAGTAATTAGGGGCCATAAAAGGGCAAAAAACAAGCATTTTTCTAGTTTCAGGACAATAACTTGTGTTTAAGTGTATGGATCTTTATGAAATTGTACTGCAAAGTTCCATATCACAAAGGGAAAGCTGGGTTTGAGTTTCGGGGTAATTGCCCTAAACGTTTAGGAATAAGGGGCCAAAAAGGGGCCAAAAAACAAGCATTTTTCTAGTTTCCAGACAATAACTTGTGTTCAAGTGTATGGATCTCTCTGAAATTGTACTGCAAGGTACCATACCACAAAGGAAAGGCTGGGATTGAGTTTGGGGGTGATGAATCATAAGGGGGTTCAAAAAATTTGTGGGGGGGGGATTTTTTTTTCTTTAAAAATTTTCCATTTCAAATTGGTTATTTCTGATTTATATATAAAAGCAAATAATAATGATATGGTTTGAATAGGTAAATTAAAAAATTTTAAGTTCTTAGACCACTTTCATTCTGTGTCAGAAACCTATGCTGTGTCAAATATTTAATTACAATCCAAATTCAGTGCTGTATCAAGCTTGAATGTTGTGTCCATACTTGCCCCAACTGTTCAGGGTTCGACCTCTGCGGTCGTATCAAGCTGCGCCCCAGCGGAGCATTTTATTTTTATTGTAAAGGTGTTTTTCAAATTAATTTTCTAAAATCAAAATTGTTTATACTTAGAGAGACTGATCTGCATTCAACAAGGTTAAGTTTTCGTGTCCATATCTCAGATACTATAAGCAATAGGTCTACTATATTTGGTGTATGTAATGATTGTAAGGTGTACATGTCCAACTGGCAGGTGTCATCTGACCTTGACTTCATTTTCATGGTTCAGTGGTCAAAGTTAAGTTTTTGAGTTTTGGTCTTTTTATGCCCCCACCGTAGCAGTGGGGGCATTAAGTTTTACCCTTGTCCATCTGTACGTACGTGCGTACGAACGTCCGTCCGTACGTCCCAAATTTGTTTCCGTTCTCTAACTTGTGTGTGCCTCAACTAAATGTGATGAAACTTATACACAATGCATATTACCACAAAACACAGATTAAGTTTGAATTTTGGTGGCGTCACTTTAACCATTCCAGAGTTATGCCCCTTTATAAATGGAAAAATTGCAAAATTTTTAGTTTCCGTTCTCTAACTTAAGTTTGCCTCAACTAAATGTTATGTAACTTAGACACAATTCTTATTACCACAAAACACAGATCAAGTTTGAATTTTGGTAGTGTCACTTTAACCATTCCAGAGTTATGCCCCTTTATAAAAGGAAAAATTGCAAAATTTTTAGTTTCCGTTCTCTAACTTAAGTTTGCCTCAACAAAATGTTATGAAACTTATACACAATGCTTATTACCACAAAACACAGATCAAGTTTGAATTTTGGTGGCGTCACTTTAACCGTTCTAGAGTTATGCCCGATTATAAATGGAAAAATTGCAAAATTTTTAGTTTCCGTTCTCTAACTTAAGTATGCCTCAACCAAATGTTATGAAACTTATACACAATGCTTATTACCACAAAACACAGATCAAGTTTGAATTTTGGTGGCGTCACTATAACCGTTCTAGAGTTATGCCCCTTTATAAATGGAAAAGTTGCAAAATTTTTATTTTCTTCTAAATATCAAGTAGTTTTTATACGACCGCCAAAAAATTTGCGGACGTTTATTGGTATGACGTTGGCCTCGTCGTTGTTGTTGTCGTCGTCGTCCGACAGCGTCGTCGTCCTAAGACACATTGGTTTTCGCACAATTACTTTAGTTTAAGTGAATGGATCTCTATGAAATTTTACCATAAGGTTCAATACCACAAAAGGAAGGTTGGGATTGTTTTTGTTGGTTATGGTACCAACAGTTAAGGAATTAGGGGCCAAAAATAAACATTTTTGTAACTTCCAGACAATAACTTGTGTGTTAGTGTATGGATCTCTCTGACATTGTACCACAAGGTTCCATATCACAAAGGGAATGCTGGGATTGATTTTGGGGGTAATTGCCTCAAAATTTTAGGAATTAGGGACCAAAAAAGGGGCAAAAAACAAGCATTTTTCTAGTTTCCAGACAATAACTTGTGTGTAAGTGTATGGATCTTTCTGAAAATGTTCTACAAGGTTCCATATCACAAAGGGAAAGCTGGAATTGAGTTTGGGGGTAATTGCCCTAAACGTATAGGAATTTGGGGCCAAAAAGGGGCCAAAAAACAAGCATTTTTACAGTTTCCAGACAATAACTTGTGTTCAAGTGTATGGATGTCTCAAAAATTGTACTGCAAGCTACCATACCACAAAAGGAAGGCTGGGATTGAGTTTGTGGGTGATGAATCATAAGGGGGTTTCCTTTTCTTCCTTTTTTTTTTCTATAAAATTTTCCATTTTAAGTTTGTTTTTTTGATAGAGCACAAAAATTTTTTGCGGTCGTATATTGGTATGACGTTGGCGGCGTCGTCATCGTCGTCGTCCGAAGACACATAGGTTTTCGCACTCTAACTTTAGTTTAAGTGAATGGATCTCTTTGAAATTTTACCATAAAGTTCATTATCACAAAAGGAAGGTGGGGATTGATTTTGGGGGTTATGGTACCAACAGTTAAGGAATTAGGGGCCAAAAAGGGGCCAAAAATAAGCATTTTCTAGTTTCCAGACAATAACAGTGGAACGGTGTATGGATCTCTCTGAAATTATACTACAAGTTTCAATACCACAAAGGGATGGTTAGGATTTGCTTTGGGGGTTATGGCTCAAACCGTTTAGGAATTAGGGGCAAAAAAGGGGGAATAACAAGGTTGTCCTGGTTAATGGACAAATACTTTAGTACAAAACATAATTTAAAGCAGTGTAAGGGAGATAAATCAAAAACATCATTGAAATTATCTATCTTACATTGCTTTTAAATTATGTATAAAGTAATGGTTAATGAACAATAAAGATAATTTAAAACAGTGTAAGGGAGGTAATCCAAATACAACGTTTTGGTTACTTCCCTTACACTGCTTTTAAATTATGTTTAAAGAAATGCATATTTATAAAGGAAGACAAGTAAAAATATTTACAAAAAAATCCATATGAAAGATTTGACACTATATTTCAAATTCTATTATAAAATAGATTAAGTTAGCACTATGGTAAATTTAAATGGGTAATTATGGTTTCAAACTCCATTGGAAATTTGAATTGAGATTATGACCATATCTTGAGGGAAAGAATTTTTTGGGAGAAAAAAGGGGGGGGGGGGGGTAAAAAGAAATTGTGGGGGGTCAATTTTTTCTCATTTCAGATTTCAGAAATTAAAAAGAATTATTCTTCAAATATTATTTTTTTTTCAAATTTCAAATATTGAAAAATTTCAAGAAGTAATCTTTAATTGCACAGTATGGCGCATTAGATTTGTAAAATCTTTGACCACATTTATTTATTTGTTATGCCGTATCTAACCGTGTATTTAGATTTTTAATTTTGGGTCCAGTTTTCAAATTGGTCTACATTAAGGTCCAAAGGGTCCAAAATTAAACTTTGTTTGATTTTAACAAAAATTGAATTCTTGGGGTTCTATGATATGCTGAATCTAAACATGTGTTTAGATTTCTGATTATGGGCCCAGTTTTCAAGTTGGTCCAAGTTGGGGTCCAAAATTAAACTTTGTTTGATTTCAACAAAAATTGAATATATGGGGTTCTTTCATATGCTGAATCTAACCATGTATTTATATTTTTTATTTGTGGACCCCGCTATCAAATTGGTTCATATTGAGGTCAAAAGGGTCCAAAATTAAACTTCGTTTGATTTCATCAAAAATTGAACTATTGGGGTTCTTTGATATGTCAAATCTAACCGTGTATTTAGATTTTTAATTTTGGGTCCTGTTTTTTAAATTGGTCTACATTAAGGTCCAAAGGGTCCAAAATTAAACTTAGTTTGATTTTAACAAAAATTGAATTATTGGGGTTCTTTGATATGCTGAATCTAAACATGTGTTTAGATTTTTGATTATGGGCCCAGTTTTCAAGTTGGTCCAAGTTGGGGTTCAAAATTAAACTTTGTTTGATTTCAACAAAAATTGAATATATGGGGTTCTTTGATATGCTGAATCTAAACATGTATTTAGATTTTAGATTTTTGGCCCAGTTTTCAAGTTGGTCCAAATTGGGGTCCAAAATTAAACTTTGTTTGATTTCAACAAAAATTGAATATATGGGGTTCTTTGATATGCTGAATCTAACCATGTATTTAGATTTTTTATTTGTGGGCCCGCTATCAAATTGGTTCATATTGAGGTCAAAAGGGTCCAAAATTAAACTTTGTTTGATTTCATCAAAAATTGAATTATTGGGGTTCTTTGATATGCCAAATCTAACCGTGTTTTAGATTTTTAATTTTGGGTCCCGTTTTTTATATTGGTCTACATTAAGGTCCAAAGGGTCCAAAATTAAACTTAGTTTGATTTTAACAAAAATTGAATTCTTGGGGTTCTTTGATATGCTGAATCTAAACATGTGTAGATTTTTGATTATGGGCCCAGTTTTCAAGTTGGTCCAAGTTGGGGTCCAAAATTAAACTTTTTTTATTTCAACAAAAATTGAATATATGGGGTTCTTTGATATGCTGAATCTAACCATGTATTTAGATTTTTTATTTGTGGACCCCGCTATCAAATTGGTTCATATTGAGGTCAAAAGGGTCCAAAATTAAACTTTGTTTGATTTCATCAAAAATTGAATTATTGGGGTTCTTTGACATTCCAAATCTAACCGTATATTTAGATTTTTAATTTTGGGTCCCGTTTTTTAAATTGGTCTACATTAAGGTCCAAAGGGTCCAAAATTAAACTTAGTTTGAGTTTAACAAAAATTGAATTCTTGGGGTACTTTGATATGCTGAATCTAAACATGTGTTTAGATTTTTGATTATTGGCCCAGTTTTCAAGTTTGTCCAATTTGGGGTCCAAAATTAAACTTTGTTTGATTGCAACAAAAATTGAATATATGGGGTTCTTTGATATGCTGAATCTAACCATGTATTTTGATTTTGGACATTGGACCATAATAGGTAAATTAAAAAAATTCAAGTTCTTAGACCACATTCTTTCTGTGTCAGAAATCTATGATGTGTCAAATATTTAATCACAATCCAAATTCAGAGCTGTATCAAGCTTGAATGTTGTGTCCATACTTGCCCCAACTGTTCAGGGTTCGACCTCTGCGGTCGTATCAAGCTGCGCCCAGCGAAGCATTTTATTTATTTATATATAAAAGCAAATAATAATGATAAGGTTTAATTTCATCAAAAATTGAAATATTGGGGTTCTTTGATATGCTGAATCTAACCGTGTATCTAGATTCTTAATTTTTTGGTCCCGTTTTCAAATGGGTCTACATTAAGGTCCAAAGGGTCCAAAATTAAACTTAGTTTGATTTAAAAAAAAATTGAATTCTTGGGGTTCTTTGATATGCTGAATTTAACCCTGTATGTATTTAGATTTTGGATATTGGACCATAATAGGTAAATTAAAAATTCTTAGACCACATTAATTCTGTGTCAGAAACCTATGCTGTGTCAAATATTTAATCACAATCCAAATTCAGAGCTGTATCAAGCTTGAATGTTGTGTCCATACTTGCCCCTACTGTTCAGGGTTTGACCTCTGCGGTCGTATCAAGCTGCGCCCAGCGGAGCATTTTATTGATTCAGCCATGCTGATTCTATGCGATCACTCTGGTTTTGGAGATTGTGCAGAATACTAAGTTGGAGACATATCATGGAACTAATTATGTGTTTTTATGACTTGCAGAAACTTTCTACACCATTTTAATCATGAACTGCCAACTTTTGACATGTTATTTGCCCTTAAATTAAGAAAAGATTGGTCGAACAACCCTTTTATTTTAGATAAACACTTGCATATAGTTCCTTTGTAAATCAAAATTTATAATGATTTACTATTTATGAATTAATTTGAAAAAGTATTTGAACATCAATTGAATCAGTTGATAAGAGTTTTGAAAGTATTATATCAGTATCTTATGCTTGTGTAAGGTATTGTTCAATGAAATTTTGGTCAACATGTGTATAAATATATCTAAGTTGATTCCCACACTTTTTATACGACCGCAAAAAAATTTTGAGGTCGTATATTGGTATGACGTTGGCGTCGTCGGCGTCGTCCGGCGTCGTCGTCCGAATACATAATGGTTTTCGCACTCTAACTTTAGTTTAAGTGAATGGATCTCTATGAAATTTTACCATAAGGTTCAATACCACAATAGGAAGGTGGGGATTGATTTTGGGGGTTATGGTACCAACAGTTAAGGAATTAGGGGCCAAAAAGGGGCCGAAAAAATAAGCATTTTTGTAACTTCCAGACATAACTTGTGTGTTAGCATATGGATCTCTTTGACATTGTACCACAAGATTCCATATCACAAAGGGTCAATGCTGGGATTGATTTTGGGGTTAATTGCCTCAAAATTTTAGGAATAAGGGGCCAAAAGGGGGCAAAAAACAAGCATTTTTCTAGTTTCATGACAATAACTTGTGTGTAAGTGTATGGATCTTTCTGAAATTTTACTACAAGGTTCCATTTCACAAAGGGAAAGCTGGAATTGAGTGTTGTGGTAATTGCCCAAAACGTTTAGTAATAAGGGGCCTACAAAGGGGTTTAAAATAAGCATTTTTTAGTTTCTAAACTTGTGTTCAAGTGTATGGATCTCTCTAAAATTGTATTACAAGGTACCATACCACAAAGGCAAGGCTGTTATTGAGCTTGGTTTGGGGGGAAAGGGGGGTGGGGGTGATGAATCATAAGGGGGCGTGGGTCAAAAAAGGGGTAATTTTTTTTTTTCATTTTTTTTTGTTTAAAATTTACATTTTAAGTTAGTTATTTTTTATCACTAAGAGAAAGTAGGAATTGAGTTTTGGGGTTAATTGCTCAAACTTTTATGAATAAGGGGCCAAATATTGGTCAAAAATAAGGATTTTTTTAGTTTGCAACAAAAACTTGTGTTCAAGTGTATGGATCTCTGTGAAATTGTATTGCAATGTACCATACCACAAATTGAAGGTTGTGATTGAGGTGGGGGATGATGAATCAAAAGGGGGTTGAAAAAATGTGTGGGATTTTTTTTTTTCCTTTTTTTTTCTTTAAAATTTTCCATTTAAAGATGGTTGTTTCAGATTTATATATGAAAGAAAATAATAATGATACGGTTATATATCATGAGGAATTGAAATTTAAAATTATGTATATTGGAAATTTAGGTTACATTGGAAAGTAATAATTGGCTTTGGGGGGGGGGGGGGGTTATAAATGGCTCTAATGTTTAAGGAATAAGGGAAAAAAAGGTTAAAAAACAAGGGTTTCCATTTTAATAGAGAAATAATTGAGTAAAGAACATTATTTAAAAGCAGTGTAAGGTTGGTAATTCAAACTCATTTAAATATCTCATCTACACTGCTTTTAAATTATGTAAATTGGAAATTTGCCAATAACTTTATTGTTAATAAATGCATTGGAAATTTGCCAACAATTTTAGTGTAATAAACTTCATTGGAAATTTGCCAATATAAAATTTTGCTGATGAAAGTTTTTTGTTTACCTTTAGCCTTGACTATGAAGTCATTTTCTATTTTTATAGCCTTATGATGTAGTTGAATTATTTAATACTTTTATGATGTGTTTAAATGGGGTTTTATCATGTTTATGGTTGCAAATTTATTGTTTTAGTATAATAAACTCCATTTAAAATTTGCCAATAAAAAAAATTTTTGTTTATTTTTAGCTATGATTATATTATATGATGTCATTTTCTATTTTACTTTTATGGTTGCAAAGAAATTTTTATTTTTAGATATTACTGTTAAATGATGCTGATTAAGGTTTTTGCTATGTTTAGCCATGACTATGATGTCATTTTCTATTTTAATATCTGTTATGATGTATTTAAATGGGCTTTTATGGTTACAAAGGAATTTTATTTTTATACGACCGCAAAAAAATTTTGTGGTCGTATATTGGTATGACGTTGGCGTCGTCGTCGTCGTCGTCGTCGTCGTCGTCGTCGTCCGGCGTCTTCGTCCGAATACATATTGGTTTTCGCACTCTAACTTTAGTTTAAGTGAATGGATCTTTTTGAAATTTGACCATAAGGTTAAATACCACAAAAGGAAGGTTGGGATTGATTTTGGGGGTTATGGTACCAACAGTTTAGGAATTAGGGGCCAAAAAGGGGCCAAAAATGAGCATTTTCTAGTTTCCAGACATTAACTGTGGAACTGTGTATGGATCTCTCTGAAATTATACTACAAGTTTCCATACCACAAAGGGATGGTTAGGATTTGCTTTGGGGGGTTATGGCTCAAACCGTTTAGGAATTAGGGGCAAAAAAGGGGGAAAAACAAGGTTGTCCTGGTTAATGGACAAATACTTTAGTACAAAACATAATTTAAAGCAGTGTAAGGGAGATAAATCAAATACATCATTGAAATTATCTCCCTTACACTGCTTTTAAATTATGTATAAAGTAATGGTTAATGAACAATAAAGATAATCTAAAACAGTGTAAGGGAGGTAATCCAAATACAACGTTTTGGTTACTTCCCTTACACTGCTTTTAAATTATGTTTAAAGAAATGCATATTAATAAAGGAAGACCAGTAAAAATATCTGCAAATGTTTTCATCTTTTTTTTTTACAAAAAAATCCATATGAAAGATTTGACACTATATTTTTATTAATTCGATCTATTATAAAATAGATTAAGTTAGCACTATGGTAAATTTAAATGGGTAATTATGGTTGCCAACTCCATTGGAAATTTGAATTGAGATTATGACCATATCTTGAGGGAAAGAATTTTTTTGGGGGAAAAAGGGGAGGGGGGGATAAAAAGAAATTGTGGGGGGCCAATTTTTTCTCATTTCAGATTTCAGAAATTAAAAAGAATTATTCTTCAAATATTATTTTTTTTTCAAATTTCAAATATTGAAAAATTTCAAGAAGTAATCTTTAATTGCACAGTATGGCGCATTAGATTTGTAAAATCTTTGATCACATTTATTTATTTGTTATGCCGAATCTAACAGTGTATTTAGATTTTTAATTTTGGGTCCAGTTTTCAAATTGGTCTACATTAATGTCCAAAGGGTCCAAAATTAAACTTTGTTTGATTTTAGCAAAAATTGAATATATGAGGTTCTTTGATATGCTGAATCTAAACATGTATTTAGATTTTTGATTTTTGGCCCAGTTTTCAAGTTGGTCCAAATTGGGGTCCAAAATTAAACTTTGTTTGATTTCAACAAAAATTGAATATATGGGGTTCTTTGATATGCTGAATCTAACCATGTATTTAGATTTTTTATTTGTGGACCCCGTTATCTAATTGGTTCATATTGAGGTCAAAAGGGTCCAAAATTAAACTTTGTTTGATTTCATCTAAAATTGAATTATTGGGGTTCTTTGATATTCAAAATCTAACCGTGTATTTAGGTTTTTAATTTTGGGTCCTGTTTTTTAAATTGGTCTACATTGAGGTCCAAAGGGTCCAAAATTAAACTTAGTTTGATTTTAACAAAAATTGAATTCTTGGGGTTCTTTGATATGCTGAATCTAAACATGTGTTTAGATTTTTGATTATGGGCCCAGTTTTCAAGTTGGTCCAAGATAGGGTCCAGTATTTAAACTTTGTTTGATTTCAACAAAAATTGAATATATGGGGTTCTTTGATATGCTGAATCTAAACATGTATTTAGATTTTTGATTATGGGCCCAGTTTTCAAGTTGGTCCAAATTGGGGTCCAAAATTAAACTTTGTTTGATTTCAACAAAAATTGAATATATGAGGTTCTTTGATATGCTGAATCTAACCATGTATTTAGATTTTTTATTTGTAGGCCCCGCTATCAAATTGGTTCATATTGAGGTCAAAAGGGTCCAAAATTAAACTTTGTTTGATTTCATCGAAAATTGAATTATTGGGGTTCTTTGATATGCCAAATCTAACCGTGTTTTTAGATTTTTAATTTGGGTCCCGTTTTTTAAATTGGTCTTCATTGAGGTCCAAAGGGTCCAAAATTAAACTTAGTTTGATTTTAACAAAAATTGAATTCTTGGGGTTCTTTGATATGCTGAATCTAAACATGTGTTTAGATTTTTGATTATGGGCCCAGTTTTCAAGTTGGTCCAAGTTGGGGTCCAAAATTAAACTTTTTTTGATTTCAACAAAAATTGAATATATGTGGTTCTTTGATATGCTGAATCTAACCATGAATTTAGAATTTTTATTTGTGGGCCCCGCTATCAAATTGGTTCATATTGAGGTCAAAAGGGTCCAAAATTAAACTTTGTTTGATTTCATCAAAAATTGAATTATTGGGGTTCTTTGATATTCCAAATCTAACCGTGTATTTAGATTTTTAATTTTAAGTCCCGTTTTTTAAATTGGTCTACATTAAGGTCCAAAGGGTCCAAAATTAAACTTAGTTTGATTTTAGCAAAAATTGAATTCTTGGGGTTCTTTGATATGCTGAATCTAAACATGTGTTTAGATTTTTGATTATGGGCCCAGTTTTCAAGTTTGTCCAAGTTGGGGTCCAAAATTAAACTTTGTTTGATTTTAACAAAAATTGAATATATGGGGTTCTTTGATATGCTGAATCTAACCATGTATTTTGATTTTGGACATTGGACCATAATAGGTAAATTAAAAAAATTCAAGTTCTTAGACCACATTCTTTCTGTGTCAGAAACCTATGCTGTGTCAAATATTTAATAACAATCCAAATTCAGAGCTGTATCAAGCTTGAATGTTGTGTCCATACTTGCCCCAACTGTTCAGGGTTCGACCTCTGCGGTCGTATCAAGCTGCGCCCCAGCGAAGCATTTTATTAGATATTACTATAAAATGTTGCTGATGCTGATTAAGGATTTTGTTTATTTTTAGCCATGACTATGATGTCATTTTCTATTTTAATACCTTTATGATGTAATTTCTATTTTTAGATATTACTGTTAAATGATGCTGATTAAGGGTTTTTTGCTATGTTTAGCCATGACTATGATGTCATTTTCTATTTTAATATCTTTATGATGTATTTAAATGGGCTTTTATGGTTACAAAGGAATTTAATTTTTAGATATTACTTTAAATGTTGCTGATTAAGGATTTTTGTTTATTTTTAGTCATGACTATGATGTCACTTTCTATTTTAATACCTTTATGATGTATTTAAATGGGCTCCCATGTATTTAGATTTTTGATTATTTATACATGTTACCAAATTGGTCCACATTGAACAAAAACGGTCCAAATTTCAACTTTATTACATTACATCAAACATTGAATTCTACATATTCTTTGATATATTGAAATTAACAAACAATTTAGTTTATGGATATTCCACCATAATAGGTAAATTAAATTTTTTCCAGTTCTTACACCACATTCATCCTGTGTCAGAAACCTATGCTGTGTCAAATATTTAATGACAATCCAAAGTCATAGCTGTATCAAGCTTGAATTTTGTGTCCATACTTGCCCCAACTGTTCAGGGTTCGACCTCTGCGGTCGTATCAAGCTGCGCCCCAGCGAAGCATTTTATTTGAAATGGTATTACTCCAGTTCTTTCCATAGGCAAGTAAGAGTCAGTATGATTATCATCTGTCATGATTTTCAAATAATTACACTCAAAGGTGTAAGTATTGATTGGAAACAACCCCAGTCTTAATTCACCACAGTTAATATCTCATGACCTGTTACGTAATTAAATAGACACAATTTATTACACACCTTACTGAAAACACACATTCTTGACCTTAATAGTAAACCTACAAATGTATTATTTATTTTGATCTACACTACATTAAAATATTCTGTTAATTTTGCTAGCTAGCGGAATGATTAATCAGATGTGGGTTTTTTTTCAAAGAAAAGACAAAAAATGAAAAAACATGTGTATAAAAAATGCAAGCAAATTTGATTTCACTTGTAAAATCAGTGTCATTATCATCTGACAAAGGTTAATAATCAAGTTCTAATTAATTAGTTACAATTATCAGAAATTTGGTTGAAACCATAAACAAAATTGCATAACTCTTACCTGAGCATTTTCTGCAATAAAATTTATTTGTTTGTTCTTCATTTATATCCCATTATATTGCTATTTAACAGTAATTGGAAATATCTCAGCATTAAGTATTTGTACATTTAAATTTGAATACAGGAAATGTATTTTTTCTTAATGAAGAATGAACACCAATTTAGATAAAAAATAGTTATTATTTTCTTTAATTTTTGTTGTTGAGAAAGTGCATTGCCAAGGCCTCTTTCTAGAAATTATTAAGCCAGTTATTATTAATGGCATATAAAAAAACATATTACTTGTTTGACGATTTCCCTTTCCAGTCTTGTCTATACCATTAAATTGCAAATATTTATAAAAAAAAAGTCTGACAGAGTCTAAAATTATATCAATATTTGCATCAATATTGTGAAATTTCCTACCTTTGGACAATAACATAGAAATTTTATAGTAAGATTGGAAATGAAAAGAGAAAAAAATATTGTAAAAAGTATGGTCTGAAAGAATATCAGACTAGCTATGAATATGGCTGGATCACAACATAGACGATGCTTTGATTTAAAATTGGAGTTATCTTCCTTTGTCCATGATTATAGTTGATCAACTACAATCAATGCTTTATACAATGCAATGTTTAATTTTGACTTCCACTGATAAAACACAGATCAAGTTGAATTTGGGTAGTGTCACTTTAACCATTATTGAGTTATGCCCCTTTATAAATCGAAAGATTGCAAAATTTTTAGTTTCCATTCTGTAACGTAAGTTTGCCCCAACCAAACATTATGAAACCTATACACAATATTCATTACCACAAAACTAAGATCAAGTACAAAGGAGTAGGTCCGGTAAGGGCCGATTTTGGCCTCAAAAATTCAGGTTCATCTGATGAAAGATTTTGGACACTTTTTAAACACTTAAGTGTCTACTTCAGTCGATTCAATTAGTTTATGTGAAGGATTTGAACTGATTTAGTCATTAAAGACGCTCAAATTCAAGCTTAAATATAAAAAATCTATCAAATATGCCATAATATGTCACTTTTCAGATGGTTTTTGTCAAAAATGAAAGTGGCCGCATCCGTGTTCATTCTCAACCTTTATATATGTTATGTATTATCATCAAATACAACTTACATTTAAATATTAAGAATGAACACAAATGCGGCCACTTCCATTTCAGACGGAAACCGTCTAAAAATTAACCAAAATGCTAAAATTTCGAAGATTTCAGTAATTTAGCATGACTTAATGATGATAGTACCCGATACATGTGCATTGTATTGTCAAAAACAGCCCATATTTATGAAACAGAAGTATTCTTCTTTCAAATAAATAACTAAAAATTTACATTTTAACAATTTGGTAAAACTGCTATATTTTGGGGCCAAAAATATTGCAAAACTCTTACCTGAGCATTTTCTGCAATAAAATTTATTTGTTTGTTCTTCATTTATATCCCATTATATTGCTATTTAACAGTAATTGGAAATATCTCAGCATTAAGTATTTGTACATTTAAATTTGAATACAGGAAATGTATTTTTTCTTAATGAAGAATGAACACCAATTTAGATAAAAAATAGTTATTATTTTCTTTAATTTTTGTTGTTGAGAAAGTGCATTTCCAAGGCCTCTTTCTAGAAATTATTAAGCCAGTTATTATTAATGGCATATAAAAAAACATATTACTTGTTTGACGATTTCCCTTTCCAGTCTTGTCTATACCATTAAATTGCAAATATTTATAAAAAAAAAGTCTGACAGTCTAAAATTATATCAATATTTGCATCAATATTGTGAAATTTCCTACCTTTGGACAATAACATAGAAATTTTATAGTAAGATTGGAAATGAAAAGAGAAAAAAATATTGTAAAAAGTATGGTCTGAAAGAATATCAATTTATTTCTATTCCGTTATATTTGGAATTTCCCTATTCTATTTCTATCTTTAGACTTGTGGTACAAGTTTGGCTAGTATGTAAATCAGAAGTGGTCTGATGTTACTGTTGTTTTCTGCACGAATATTTCGAGGGCGGTAGTACGGGTGGGGTTTTATAGGCATATATAAGTCCTGATTACGTTTGGTTATTATCGATGTGCTCCAGTAACTTTGATAGACGAAGTTAACGTTAAGCTCTGCATAATATGTCCGAGGAAGGCTCCGACCATGATGAACACCGTGCTACTACTCAACATGCTGAAAATAGTAACGAAACAGAGTTAAGTACGGACGGGGCTATTTCGCTTTTCACTTCAGCTTTAAACAATGCTTTAGAGAAGCAAAAACATTCCTTGATTAATCATTTCGAAGCTCGTTTAGGAAAAAGTGTTAAAGCAACCGGTGTCGACCAACCAGAATTTGTATTCCAAAGTGAGGGAATTAAAGTGCAACATTCGTTTAATACCGAGCGTCTGGAGAGGCTTGCTGCCGTTGAAAGTTGTATAAAGCTTGGAAATGCTTTCGAAGTTAGTGAAATTATTACCCAGGAAAAGGAAATCATCCGTAAGCGTAATAAAATTCTAAAAATAACCGACAAGCATGGATGGGACACGGTTAAAGAGTACTTGGATAGTCCGTTGGCCGACAATAAAGAAGATGCTAGTGATTTGCGTGCTGCTATTTCCAGGGCTTCTCGTAAAAGAAGTTCCAAGCCGTACAGTAAACCAGAATCTTCCAATAGTGGTTCCGGAAAAGGAGAATTCAATTCCAGGAGTTTTTTTTTTCGTGGCCTTGGCCAAGTCAGTGATACCGAGTTCTCCAAAGCAGGCAAGTCAGAAAGTTACAAGTGTTTCTATTGTAACCAGCCCGGGCACTTTGCAAGGAACTGCCCCGAAAAAAGGATTCCTACAGCGACAGTTGGTGCACCAAAGTTCCAGGAACAGAACACAGGAAAGACCCAGTAACAAAACAGATACAGACATAGATGAAGTTGAGTATTGTTTTCAATTTGTTAACAAGTATGAGAAAAAATATTGTCAAAATCTTATAAATGTGAAAGGAAATTTAAGAAAACATGCATTGTTTTGGAAAAATGTACTTAACGCTAATGATTTTATAATGAATGTTATTAATTTTGGTTATAGAATTCCTTTTCTGAGTGAACCACCGACTATTTTTCTAAGTAATAATAGATCCGCGTTAAAACACTCAGAATTTGTGGAAAATTCTATTGAAGAACTTTTAACTAAAGAATGTATAAAAGAAGTAAATCGACCATTTGTCGTTAATCCACTTACTGTGTCGGTAAATAGTACGGGTAAAGAAAGATTAGTCTTAGATTTGAGACATGTTAATAAATTTGTCGAGAAACAAAAAGTTAAATTTGAAGGGGTTAAAGAAGCTATGACATTTGTAAATTTTAGCGGTTTTGGGTTTAAATTTGATTTAAAGTCTGGTTATCACCATATAGAAATTCACCCTGATCACCAAAATATTTAGGATTTTCTTGGCAATATGGTGATACAGTGCGTTATTTTAAAAACCTATGAACTTTTTTACAAAAGGTTCACAAGAAAAGAGTATATTTGCACAGAGACCTTTTAACAGTAATGTATATGTTTTGTTGTTGGATTTCTCGAAGTATTGAGATTTATGCATTGAATGTTGTATACAGACTGTAGTTGATTTAGTTTTCTGCGATGGTTATTTGCCGCAGTTATCAGATATGAGACTATATTCGTAAGAATGTTAAATTTAACATTGTGATGTTTTAACTGCAACAATTAGATATGTCATTGTTAACATTGTTGATTAATTGTTTATGAATACAGTGAGGGTTAATGCCACTGTATATATATAAGTATATGACTTTTTTAGATACTGTGAGGTTGAATGCCACAGTAAGTGTGCGAGGAAAATGCCGCATTCATTTGTTTGCGAGGAAAATGCCGCATTCATTTGTTTGCGAGGGAAATGCCGCATTCATTTGTTTGCGAGGGAAATGCCGCATTTATTTGTTTGCGAGGGAAATGCCGCACTGGGTTGTTTGCGAGGGAAATGCCGCATTCATTTATAGTAGTAATGTTAATTATATTTACTTTGTTTATAGTTATCACTTGGTATTCATTATTATATTTATTTTACAGATCAATGGAAACAATTTGAGTGTTATGCCAATGATTCGAGATTTGTCAGTATCATACGAGATTTACCCTCTTTTGTCGAATCGTTTAGATCAAATTCTACAATTAAGAAATACAAGTGCTATTTTAAAAAGTTTGAAAAATGGTGTGTTTCATGTTCACTTGAGTGTTTACCAGCGACAACTACTACGATTTCTATGTATATAGGTGGACTCATTCAACAGGGATCCAGTGTTGCGATTTTAGATGCAAGTTTTTATTCAATAAAATGGTTTCATGACTTTAATTTCAAACATAATCCTTTTTCAGACAAATTCCTTGGTCTTATTTATGAAGGAGGAAGGAGATTGCTAAGTAAATCTATAAACAAAAAAGAACCTATTACGTCAGATATATTAAGGAAAATTGTTTTGAAGTTCGGAGATCATAATAATCTCAAAAAATTGCGTGTAGTAGTATTATTTCTGTTAGGATTTTCTGGATTTTTGAGGTATAGTGAATTGGCTAACATTAAGATGAATAATATTGAGTTTCAAGTCAGTCATGTTAAAATTCGCATTGATAAAAGCAAAACTGATTTATACAGAAGGGGTAATTCTGTTGTTATAGCTGCAACAGGTACAGATTTATGTCCAGTTTTTTGGTTAAATAAGTATATCAATTTAGCTGAATTGAGCAAAAATTCTGATAGCTATATTTTCAGAGCACTGTCTTTTATGAAATTGAAAGATGTTTATAAATTATGTAATATAAATAGTCCATTGTCCTATACCAGAGCGAGAGAAATTTTGTTAGAGAGTTTATCAGATATTGGTTTAGATAAGCTTAAGTTTGGGCTTCATAGTTTGAGAAGTGGTGGCGCTTCTACGGGGGCTAATAGAGGAGTCTCTGATAGGTTACTTAAAGTCCACGGTAGATGGGCTTCTGATAAAGCCAAAGATGGGTATATTAAAGACAATTTAAAATCTCAAATGGCTGTTTCCTTGAATTTTGGCATATAGTTCTCAAATTATTTATTCCTTTGTTTTATCGAAGTAACTGCGAGCAAACAAACCTAAATTATGACTTGTCTCTTATTTAGCCATGTATTTAGAATAGAAATGTTTTAAATTCGGACGAATTCATGAGGGAGAATTTAAATTTATTTCTATTCCGTTATATTTGGAATTTCCCTATTCTATTTCTATCTTTAGACTTGTGGTACAAGTTTGGCTAGTATGTAAATCAGAAGTGGTCTGATGTTACTGTTGTTTTCTGCACGAATATTTCGAGGGCGGTAGTACGGGTGGGGTTTTATAGGCATATATAAGTCCTGATTACGTTTGGTTATTATCGATGTGCTCCAGTAACTTTGATAGACGAAGTTAACGTTAAGCTCTGCATAATTTATTACAGTTATGTTTGTATTGATATGTATTTAGAGGACATTGTGAATGTATATAGATGGAATTGTGGTATATTTTTGTAATTTGTAAAATGTTTACAAGATATTAAATGTTGTTTCGCTGAGAAAATAAGAAAGTTACTGCGAGCAAACAAACCTAAATTATGACTTGTCTCTTATTTAGCCATGTATTTAGAATAGAAATGTTTTAAATTCGGACGAATTCATGAGGGAGAATTTAAGACTAGCTATGAATATGGCTGGATCACAACATAGACATGATAGACGATGCTTTGATTTAAAATTGGAGTTATCTTCCTTTGTCCATGATTATACTTGATCAACTACAATCAATGCTTTATACAATGCAATGTTTAATTTTGACTTCCACTGATAAAACACAGATCAAGTTGAATTTGGGTAGTGTCACTTTAACCATTATTGAGTTATGCCCCTTTATAAATCGAAAGATTGCAAAATTTTTAGTTTCCATTCTGTAACGTAAGTTTGCCCCAACCAAACATTATGAAACCTATACACAATATTCATTACCACAAAACTAAGATCAAGTACAAAGGAGTAGGTCCGGTAAGGGCCGATTTTGGCCTCAAAAATTCAGGTTCATCTGATGAAAGATTTTGGACACTTTTTAAACACTTAAGTGTCTACTTCAGTCGATTCAATTAGTTTATGTGAAGGATTTGAACTGATTTAGTCATTAAAGACGCTCAAATTCAAGCTTAAATATAAAAAATCTATCAAATATGCCATAATTTGTCACTTTTCAGATGGTTTTTGTCAAAAATGAAAGTGGCCGCATCCGTGTTCATTCTCAACCATTATATATGTTATGTATTATCATCAAATACAACTTACATTTAAATATTAAGAATGAACACAAATGCGGCCACTTCCATTTCAGACGGAAACCGTCTAAAAATTAACCAAAATGCTAAAATTTCGAAGATTTCAGTAATTTAGCATGATTTAATGATGCTAGTACCCGATACATGTGCATTGTATTGTCAAAAACAGCCCATATTTATGAAACAGAAGTATTCTTCTTTCCAATAAATAACTAAAAATTTACATTTTAACAATTTGGTAAAACTGCTATATTTTGGGGCCAAAAAGGGGTCTTACTGGGCCTACTCCTTTTTTGTTTCCATATTTTCTAACTTTAGTTTGCGGCAAACTACAAATAGAAAAATTGCTGAATTTTTAGTTTCTGTTCTCTACTTAAGTTAGCCTCAACCAAATGTTATGAGACTTACACACAATGCTTATTACCACAAAACTCAGATCAAGTTCAAATTTGGGTAGCGTCACTTTTACCGTTCTTCAGTTATGTCCCTTTATAACTATATGCTTTGCAAGCGGGGGCATCATCTGTGTCCACATGTGTCCACTATCCACATTTATTTTTTTTTGGGGGGGGGGGGGGGGGGGGGGGGGGGGGGGATCAATACCCAACAGCATAGTGTATTGCACAAAAGCAACAAATTGAATATAAATTTAAATCATATAACCAATTCTAAGTTCTTTGACTACAGTTATTCTGTGTCAGAAACTTATTATGTGTCAAATATTTAATTACAATCCAAATTCAGACCTGTATCAAGCGCGAATATTGTGTCCATTTTTGCCCCAACTGTTCAGGGTTGGACCTCTGTGGTGGTTTCCAGCTGCGCTCAGCGAAGCAATTTATTACCTATATATATATATATATATACATCATTTTTTTCAGAGACAAGTGCCTGTGGATGTATAGCCTTTCACTTTGACATACCAACATATTTTTTATGAGAAGATTGTCTGATCTTAAATTCCTTGATTTATTTGCATTGTACATATCAAAATAAAATGTCTTTGAATTAGCCTTAGTGTTCTTATTACAAAAGAGTTAGGCTTTGCTTCATATTGGCTAATTCAAAGACATTTTTGTTAGTCTCGGATTTGTTCTGTTATTTACCCACTGCTTATTAATTTGTTTTCCAGCTAATTGTTATGAAGCAAAATGGCACAGAAATTGGTACCTGTAAGAGAATATAACCAGACAGTTTTAGACAACTTAGAAGAAGGAGACTTAGTGGAGTTCCCAAGGGGACGCATTTACTCACACTGGGGAGTTTATATTGGTAGGCCTCAAAATTTTCTGTCCTGTATTAAATTGCTTGCTTTTAACTGAATGTGCAAACACATGAAGCCTAAAAGGTTTGAATAAAAGGAAACAGCAACACAAAAACTTTAAAATATACATGTCTGTATGTTACTTATAGAGAGATAATTGGTAACATTAGTTACAAAGCAACATTAACAACATCACAAAAGTTACATGTATGTACGTATTTCTAGAGAGATAACTGTTACACATGTATCAGTTACACAGCAACCTAACAACACAATCATAACACTAAAACCATAAGACAGCTCTGCAAGTGTCCTCAATATAACATCTGAATATGCTCAATATTTTTTTTCAAAATGGTGTTTCATAAGATAGTGTACTACATTTTTATGCCCCAAGTACTATAGTCTAAGAGGCATTATGTTTTTCGGTCTGTGTGTCCATTCGTTCGTCAGTTCGTTCCTTCTGTCTTTCCAGCTTCAGGTTAAAGTTTTTGGTCAAGGTAGTTTTTGATGAAGTTGAAGTCCAATCAACATGAAACTTAGTACACATGTTCCCCATGATATGATCTTTCTAATTTTAATGCCAAATTAGAGTTTTGAACCCAATTTCAAGGTCCACTGAACATAGAAAATGATAGTGCGAGTGGGGCATCCGTGTACTATGGACACATTCTTGTTTCAGGCTCAGATAGTTGCAACATAAATTTTAATTTATGAAAAAGGTACTAGTGAAATTCCTCTATATTCAGCTTAGTTTAGGAAAAATACATATATTCAGTAGCAAGAAATAAACATTTTTTTCTGAATTGGATTCAAGGATCTTTTACAATGCATGTAGGGTGTTTACTGCATTAAATTATAGGCTTTGGACTTTCATGAAAATAAAAGTTACACGGCTTTTTTCAAACGTCTTCACATATTGAGTATGTATGTGAGTCAACTATGATGAGTTACAGATCAAATATACGTTTAGTTCCACTCTGCTGATTTTTGCCGCAAACAATAGGCTTTGGACTTTGAACATTTTTTTAAAATAACAGTTGTACATACTATTTTCTGAACACCTTCACATATTGAGCTGAATTTCAGTATGTGAGTCTTCTATGATAAGTTACAGATCAAGTTTTCGTTTGGTTCCGCTCCATTGATTTTTGCTGAAATTACCGGCTTTGGACTTTGAAAATTTCTTTAAAATTACAGTTGTATGGAATTTCATTCTCAAATTTCCACTCCTAAAAATGGCTTCAAGCTTTTTTTGCGAGCGGGGCCATTTGTCATTCTGACACATCTAGTTTTCTTCCTATAATCATGATAATACAAAATACAAAAATGTACTATATTTTTCTTTATAGAATAAAATTTTCTGACTCTCCCATTATAATGCTTAGTTTAAAATATTTTGAATCAATCAAAAAATATTCTGAATTTGTTAAAAACAGAACTTCATAATAAAAAGACAAGATCACGTAATTTGCTTCCTATAGATGAAAAGTGTTACAAATGAATTGATTGCTGTCTCAAAATTTGCTTATTTCAATAAAAAATTTGATCAATTATTGGCAGCTATTTTACAATCCAAGATGGGAGAAGGTTGAGAAACTGTCAGCCATACAGGAAGATTGTGATGGCATTGACTTAAATAAGGGCAAAAAAAAAGTATTTGTGTTTCTATTTTTTGTCCTTAAGACAAACAGGGTAGGCAATTTGATTGAAATACAGATCCCGTGTCCACGCTTTGCTTACAAGGATCTGACAAGGCTCCATTCAACTTTCTATTTTAAAGATCTTTCCAGATCCTCTGGCTTTGTCATTATGATATTCAACTTCAAAAATGTGAAGGCAGATTTTTCATTGGCTGATGTAATAATTACCAGAACAGAAAGTAGAATGAAATGTTGTCAGATCCTTGTTAGTGAAGACTGGACACAATATCTGTATTTCAATTGGGTAGACAGGGTTGGTAACATAGAATTTTTTCTCAATTTATCATGTTGAGTATTTGGGAGACCGGTAATTTTGTCAGGATTCACTACCAAAAGTACTTATAAAAACATCAGGGTTGGTTGGGAAACCCTAAAACTCAATTGTTTGGTGGTTTTTTTTTACCTGAACAAGCATACATGTGTATTATACTCAGTAAATAAAAAAAAATGTGGATGCCATTTGTTTGAAAAAGTTCCTGGAAGCTTTTGGTTAATTTTTAATCAGTCGTCACTGTGGTGTTAAAACTATTTTGCATTACAGGTAATGAAGAAATCATACATTTAGCAGGTGATGAAAATGATGGAATAAATGGAAATGTTGATTCTGGTCACCTGTTTACTGTTTGTGGTAGACAGTTTAACAAAGCTAATGTGAAAATTGATAACTTTTGGGACGTAGTGGGCACCAGTAAGGCCAAGAAAAATAATGACAAAGATAAAAAGTGCAAGTATGTTCTTATATCTAGAGTTATTTGTTTTTTTATATAATATTCTAACCCATTCATATATATATATAAAAATAAGAAGATTTGGTATGATTGCCAATGAGACAACTATCCAGTAGAGGCCTAATGATGTAGATGTAAATAATGATAGGTCACTGTACAGTCTTCAGCAAGAAGGTCACTGTACAGTCTTCAGCAAGAAGGTCACTGTACAGTCTTCAGCAAGAAGGTCACTGTACAGTCTTCAGCAAGAAGCATAACCCATACAGTATAGCCTACTAAAAAAGACCATATCATGACAAAATGTAAACCAATTCAAGTTTTAGAGAAAACTATTTATGTACAAACAAAAAACAAAGATCAAATATTACAGTTGCAGCTTGCTTCATAGGTCATGTAGGTTAGGAGTTACTGAAAAAAAATTGATTAAAGTCAATAAGAAAAACAATTATGATACTCAGTAAAATAGTATTTCATAATTATTAATTAATTGCACAATCTTAATTTTCTCATTTTTAGCTCACCTGGCCCGAAGGGCCAAGTGAGCTTTTCTCATCACTTGGCGTCCGTCGTCGTCGTTAACTTTTTACATTTTGAACTTCTTCTAGAGAACCACTGAATGGAATGAAACCAAACATGGCATGAATGTTCCTTATGAGGTGCTGACCAAGTGGTGTTGTTACTTTGTAGCCGATCCATCATCCAAGATGGCCGCCAGCGTGGGGACTTAGTTTAACATAGGACCCTATGGGAAATGCATACAAATGTCTTCTTTTAGAGAACCAGTGAATGGAATGAAACCAAACATGGCATGAATGTTCCTTATGAGGTGCTGACCAAGTGTTGTTACTTTGCAGTTGGTCCATCATCCAAGATGGCAGCCAGCGGGGGACTTAGTTTAACATAGGACCCTATGGGAAATACATACAAATGTCTTCTTTTAGAGAACCACTGAATGGAGAGCAATCAAACATGGCATGAATGTTCCTAATGAGGTGCTGACCAAGTGTTGTTACTTTGCAGTTGGTCCATCATCCAAGATGGCCGCCAGCTGGGGCCTTAGTTTAACATAGGACCCTATGGGAAATACATACAAATGTCTTCTATTAGAGAACCACTGAATGGAATAAAACAAAACATGGCATGAATGTTCCTTATGAGGTGCTGACCAAGTGTTGTTACTTTGCAGTCGGTCCATCATCCAAGATGGCCGACAGCGGGGGACTTGGTTTAACATAGGACCCTATGGGAAATACATACAAATGTCTTCTTTTAGAGAACCACTGCATGGAATGGAACCAAACATGGCATGAATGTTCCTTATGAGGTGTTGACCAAGTGTTGTTACTTTGCAGTCAATCCATCATCCAAGATGGCCGCCAGCGGGGGACTTAGTTTAACATAGGACCCTATGGGAAATACATACAAATGTCTTCTTTTAGAGAACCACTGAATGGAATGGAACCAAACATGGCATGAATGTTCCTTATGAGGTGTTGACCAAGTGTTGTTTCTTTGCAGCCGATCCATCATCCAAGATCGCCGCCAGGGGGGACTTAGTTTAACATAGGACCCTATGGGAAATACATGTTCCTTATGAGGTGCTGACCAAGTGTTGCTACTTTGTTGCCGATTTACTGTTCAAGATGGCCACCAGGATATTTTATTAAATAACGGGACCAATATTAAACCAAATTTGGCCTCAATCATTATTTGGGTATCTGTTATGATTTTTATCTATCTGTACATGATTTCTAAAACCAAAGTAGAGTCTGGTGAGTGACACAGGCTTTTGAGAGCCTCTAGTTTGATATCTATGTATAGAATTTTTTTTCTCCATAAAATTTGATAATATCATGCTTTTAATTATAACCGAAAAGGTTTAATTTGGTAAATTGGTGTTTTCAGAGCATTCCCACCAAATGAAATAATTGAAAGAGGAAAGTCAAGGTTAGGATCAATACCTTATAATGTACTATGGAGCAATTGTGAACATTTTGCTGCTTGGTGTAGAAATGGAGAAAACTGGTCTCAACAGGTTTGTGACTTGTTATATAATGTGAAAACATAGAATAAAAGATTGATAATTGTAAAAAAAATTGATGTGAACTCGATTTTGTTTCATAGTAACAAATGTATGAAAAGTTATTCCCTCTTTAAACTGATTTTGATAATTGAGAACATATCAATAATATTTATCTGCAAAACTAATTATATGTGCAAGAAAACATGTTAGCAAATGAACCATGAAAATTTGTATAACACTGAAGTTTGTTTCTTTACACTTTAACTATACTGAGTGAAAAATTAGCAACATATACTCTAATTAAAAAACTTTAATTAAAACTTTCAAAAGTTATACGTTATATATATCTCGACAAATCAAAATTATTTATATTGAACATCGCATTGTAAGCACTTTCACTCCAACATTTCTTGTCAAATTTTTATAAAATTTCATATCTATGGCTTTTATCAGCAACTGTCTTGGAAGACTAAATATTTGAACAGGAGAAATGCCCCTTGGAAATAGAAATGATATGGAAAACAACATTGTTAGCAATTCATGCACATTTTTTGTAAGATATTTATTCAAAAGCAATTTCTTGTATATTGGTAGTTCGGAATTTTACAATGCTCATTGTACACTGCAAATGTCAATCTAGCCTTGGCTTCTAAGGAAAGGAATGATTTTATTTTTGGTCTTGAGCTTGATAATGTTAAGTCTTAGCATGTAAGCAATTTTAACATCTGCAGTGCAGCCTTGTCTTGTCTGCTGATCCTCTTTATAAGAAGTATACAGCTGTTTTATATAACTCAATGAATATGCAAACATATATTATATAAATCTATATCTGAATTGTATTTGTTGAGACTGAAAGCACACAATTTACTAATGAGAAGAACTATTGATGTCTCTCAGATTTGTGTGTCCTTGAATTGCTGTCTCATTGAAATATAACTGGTATCTCTAGTTATTCATATGAATGTAGTCCAATTTGGTAATTTAGTTTATCAAACAATTCCATTCTTTGTTGATTTTGTGTAAAAATGCACTGACTTATGGTTTGACAAGTCACAAAACAAGTCATCATCTTAATATTTGTGTGCATTTCAGGCTGATAGTTTCTTACAATGGGTAATGGGCATTGGTGCTGCAGTTGTTGTTGGTGGAATGGCTTATGCTGGATATTCTGAATCAAAGAAGAAGAAAGAAGATACACAACAGCCCTTATAGACCCCAGACAATATGCATCATTTATTTCATTTAGATTGATTAATATTATTCATGTTTAAATATAAGATATGTTGAATGATGTCTGGCAACTGCAAAATGTTATTTTTTGGTACCTTGTATTTTTGGTTTGGGGTATCATATCATTGATATTGAAATTTACCATATATTTTATTCAAAATGTACATGTTTTCAATTCAAAAAAAGGCAGTATCTCATTTGACACTTATATACCTTACATATGTACTTAATGTATGTGATCTTCAAAACACATTTAAAGCTTTTATCAGCCATTGTACAGTGAAATATCAAATGCACTTTTTATGAAATAGTAAAAAAAATAGCAATAGTTAATCTCCATTTTGTATTAGACAATTATTAGAAGGGGAGACACACTTTTTTTACCAAACACTATCTTTAATATATTCAATTCTGATTTCTTTTGATTTTAAAGATTTTTATTTTTTTTGTTCCTTAGTTTTGCAAAATAAGTATATTCAGAACTATAAACCAACTTATTTGTTCATATCTATTCAACCCTACCTACACAAATACCTTAATTTTGTCATGTATCCAGTGTGTGAAACCGTTTTTTTTTCTTACTCGCCAAATTGGGAACAGCTTTTCATTTTTACTTACCAAATTGAAATTCCACTTGCCAGCTTAGCTAGTGACTTACTTTTGGGACTTGCCGTGACTTTTCAATACATAATTTTTGTATGTATTAAAAGATATTATTCCAAGTCTACTTTAATACAAAATGTATGAACATATGTTTATTTTTTTTAAATCTATAACTAGCAACTTGACAATTTAAATTACTATTTACACATATAGTAGTCTCAGTTATACATGTTATAAGGGAGCAATCTGTGTTATCTTTCGATTAACTGGGGAGGTTGGTATCATATAGCTTTTCACCACAAGTCAAAAGTTATTTTTTATGTCATGACCAGACATTATAATAATAACAAATAACAAATGCTGGAGTTATTGAGCAGCCTCTTGAAAAATTACACTATGTGTACAATTTCTGCACCAAAGGCTTTTTTATGTTTTGTTTCTAGTTTTGCTTTTCTTTTTAGTTCCTTTCATTTTTTAATTATTCTAAGCTAAGCCCTAAAAACTTGTCCATATTGAAATTACTATTTCAAAATTTGCCACCAGAATGTCCAGATTGAACTTGTTGAACATTCAGAGAAGTTTAAAAAATGTCCTGTCCATCCTGTATTTCTCTTTAAATAAACATAAATGCACCATAGGAAGGTAAACATATTATAAAATTTTTTGTTTGTCACCCATTGATACCACACTCTATGAATAAAACATTTATTTCAGTCACATCAACAAATGAAATCAGTGTGGTCGGGGTCATATTATAAGTTTTAGCATGCTACTTCAATGAAGTGTCAAGGTTGTCATAATAATGTTTTAGTTTGCCTATTGTGATTAATAAATTGTTAAGGAGCTAGGAATATCATTGTCTAGTAACACTCCACATTGAAATTGGTTCAACAGACTAAAAATTCGTCAACCTTTGATAATTTAAGGCCTGGCAACTGTCAAAATACTTCAACTGGCCAGGGAAATATCACTCGCCACATTGGCGAGTTCTCAACTATCAGTGCTCGCTATATACATTTCTGACTCGCCTTTGGCGAGTTAGCGAGCAGAGGTTTCACACACTGTGTATCACATTTATGTAAGGGCTATAGGGAAATTGTTCCAATTGAGATATTTATTCCTTTATTCAATCATTGACATAGATTTAATTCCCAATTAACGTCGAATGACGTAATATAACGTCAGCAAAAACTTTATACTTTGACAGAAAGATTACGATTGGAATCAAGCGTATTGTACATGAAGTTTAGAAAGGTAGTAAAATTGAAAGGTAATATCAAAGCTTATCCTGATATGCAAAATGGGTATAACGCCATTAAAATAATTAATATTTACTTGTAGAGGAAATTTGTTTTTTTTGGATAAAATTGGAACTTATTTTCAGTAATCGATTAACACTTGGGAATATTTTCAAGAATGAGGCATAAGTATTAAAAGCAAATTGATCATTGAAACTTGAATTCAGCAAAAAAAAGTCTGTACACTTTATATGACTTGATATTTGTTTACCTGCATTTTCACCTTCAGAGGTTGACAGGTATGTTAATATTATGATTCTACATGAAGTAAAGTGTATGAAATAAGGTTGTTTGATAAATATGTAAATTTTTCAGGGCATCTTTTTGTTTTCAATGAAACTGTTTAAGTATTAAAGAATTGTGCACACTTTATTTATTTATGCTGTTATATTAATTTTATTTTAAAAATTTATGGAAAGTTGTATATGTATACATGCCTATCTGTGATTAAAGTTCAACACTTATTTTAATGAAGAATTTTGTTAAATACCTCAGCTGTTTGTTATTTTGAATTCTTATTTTGATGTAATGATCCGTTCTACAAATGAAACAATTATATTTAACATATTAGCATATGAATTTATTATATTAATACCCAAGACATAAAGGCTAACTGCATTATCTCCACTTGTCCCGTTTTGCATATTTTCATCCTTGACATGCCATTTTCTTCACAGCCTTTTTTCTCAACATATCAGTGCTGCTTTGGTACAAAGCATGTCCTTTGGTGTCTAAGATAGAAAGGTTCACTGAGCTCTTCAACAGTTTTTTTGCTAAATACAAAAAAGTTAATATTTTCAGACATTGATCTATTATTGTTTTATACTGCTGCTATGAAATTCTACAACCATGACTATTATTGTCACTAAAGTGTGAACAAACAAAAAAGCCTTATTTTCTGTCCCAAAATAAGCCTCTTAAGGAGTGAGGTTAAAATTGGCCCTCAGATTTTGATGTTTTTTTAATCAGGACAAAATACTACAAATTTCACCTAGAAATAGTTGTGATATTACTATTAATACAAAATAACTTTATTTTGGCACATCACATTAAAAATGACATTCAATGTCATCATTGGCAACTTTTGGTTACAGAACATTTTTGATCATAGTTTGTGGCCAAGGGTTTCCTCAAGCTTTTAGTTCTGAAAAATGCACAAAATCATTCTTTTTGACAATATATCCACTTAAAAACCAAATTATGGCCATTTTGAAATTTTATGACAAAGTTGAAACTCAAGGCCATATTTGGCCTAAAGTGAACCTTGTCCTTTGAATGAAGGTAATTAACATTGTCAAGATTGCACAAAATATAACTATGTTACTATATTTGGAAATAAGACAACATAAAGTGATCTTGTTGTAGTATAAAAGACTTTAATTGCATTTTCCCAAGAAACTACAGGTTATTTACTTGTACCAAACATCATTTTGTAAAATAATATTGCTTATTTTGATTGGGCTTTTGTTTATTCTTTTATGAATGTGTCATATGATTTTTAACTTTACAATTAATTTTGTGTAATACTTCTTAATAACGATAAGAATAAATTTGGTTTGAAATCAGTGAGAAGATGACCTTGGTAAATGATGAATTGGAATCATTTTATAGTATATTGGCAGTGCCAAGCATATACATTGTACTATATTCCAAACAAAACAGCACTTATTTATTTAAAAAGACTTAACTATTATTCTATCAATGTGACTGGAGTCTGACAAGTTTTATCAGAATTGAAGTGGAATCTACCAGGTATTTTGGACCTAAGATAGGATTTGTTTGTTACAATTATTGTTCACTACTACCATTAATATACTATATAATGTTTCTTTGACTATTTATTTTGCTAATTTTCTTTATTCAATGTTTTGGTATATGGGACTCACTTAGTTCAAACCACTTGATTCCAGACTGACATATAAAAAGAAAATTAGGAAGGATATATAAATATGTTATTTATTTACAAAAAAAAAGTATCTATGTATGAAATGTTATTGTGTTTCTATTGTAGTTTTTTTAATAAACTTTTGTTTGTTTAAGTATTTCTCATTTGTATACATGTATATATAAATAAGAATTAATGTATGATTGAGACAACCATCCACAAGGGACCATATGAAGTGGTTGTAAGCAAATAAATGTTTGTTTGAACTACAACAGAAGGTCTATGTGAGCTATTGCCATCACTTGATATTCAGTGTCGTCTGTCAAAATGTCAAGTTCTTCATACCATCCCTTGTGACCACAATTGTCAGAGGGCTTCCTTTAGTTAGGATTTATTACTCTAGAATGACCATTTTGATATGACGGTCATCAAAGGGATGTATAATGAAATACAGTTATCTATTTGTCCATACTTTTGTTTCGTCATTGCAGTGCATCCATTCATATGTGTAACAAAATCTAAAGATTGTTCTATATTGTGTCATAGATCAAACTTATTCGTTCAGTGTATGTTTACTTGTTTTTGTTTAAATGTCTTTTTGATCGAGTTAAGCCATTTCAATTGATATTTAAGTCTCCCAAACGAAGTTTGGGAAGACTTATTGTTTTTGCTCAGTTCTTATTAAGTCTCCCAAACGAAGTTTGGGAAGACTTATTGTTTTTGCTCTGACACAGTTCTTATTATTATTATTATTCTTCTTCCTCTTCCTCTTCCTCTTCTAATATCTTGTAAGTGGTCAAGATCCCCACCCCTAAACCATATATATTCTGGTTTGTCATGCTAAGATGGTTTGAATGATATACAGGGTTAGTCCTCAGGGGTCATCCCGACCCCCTGCCATTAAAGAAAGTTCTAATATCTTGTAAATGGTCGAGATCCCCACCCCTAAACCATATATATTCTGGTTTGTCATGATAAAGCACATGAAATGAAATACAGGGTTAGTCCCCAGGGGTCACCCCCACCCCATGCCATTGAAGAAAGTTCTAATACCTTGTAAGTGGTCAAGATCCCCACCCCTAAACCATATATATTCTGGTTTGTCATGCTAAGATGGTTTGAATGATATACAGGGTTAGTCCCCAGGGGTCATCCCGACCCCCTGCCATTTGAGAAAGTTCTAATATCTTGTAAATGGTCTAGATCCCCACCCCTAAACCATATATATTCTGGTTTGTCATGCCAAGATGATTTGAATGATATACAGGGTTAGTCCCCAGGCATCACTAATGCATATAACTTTACTGGACCAAACCAATTTTCACTGGACTTTGCCCCATGTCAGGCGACCCTGGGAATAACGAATTATGGGAGCTTCGTTTGGGAGACTTCGTAACAGCATCCTGTTACAGTTATTTCTTGTTATTATTATTATTCTTCTTCTTCTTCTTCTTCCTCTTCTGCCGCTTTTAAATTTGAACTTGTCCGAACCCGTTCTCCAAAACCCCTTGTCAGATTAACTTAGGGTTTTACAATATGTTAGACTAACATGTCTAGTGGTGCAACCAGGGTTTTGTTTGTGCAATGGGGTTTATAAAGGGGTACTTTGAGGGGCAAAAAGAAAAGAGGGTTTTACTAAAGAACCCTATGGGATTTTATTTTTTTTAATTTTCAAATGATTATAAATTGAAAACCGTTTGTGATAGACACAATCTTTTTAATTGAAAATGTTCTAAATGATAAAGCCCATTAAATGATATACAGGGTTAGTCCCCAGGGGTCACCCCCGACCCCTGCCATTTAAGAAAGTTCTAATACCTTGTAAGTGGTCAAGATCCCCACCCCTAAACCATATATATTTTGGTTTGTTATGCTAAGATGGTTTGAATGATATACAGGGTTAGTCCCCAGGGGTCATCCTGACCCCCTGCCATTTGAGAAAGTTCTAATATCTTGTAAATGGTCGAGATCCCCACCCCTAAACCATATATATTCTGGTTTGTCATGATAAAGCACATCAAATGAAATACAGGGTTAGTCCCCAGGGGTCACCCCCACCCCCTGCCATTTAAGAAAGTTCTAATATCTTGTAAGTGGTCAAGATCCCCACCCCTAAACCATATATATTCTGGTTTGTCATGCTAAGATGGTTTGAATGATATACAGGGTTAGTCCCCAGGGGTCATCCCGACCCCCTGCCATTTGAGAAAGTTCTAATATCTTGTAAATGGTTGAGATCCCCACCCCTAAACCATATATATTCTGGTTTGTCATGATAAAGCACATCAAATGAAATACAGGGTTAGTCCCCAGGGGTCACCCCCACCCCCTGCCATTTAAGAAAGTTCTAATATCTTCTAAGAGGTCGAGATCCCCACCCCTAAACCATATATATTCTGGTTTGTCATGCGAAGATGGTTTGAATGATATACAGGGTTAGTCCCCAGGGGTCATCCCGACCCCCTGCCATTTGAGAAAGTTCTAATATCTTGTAAATGGTAGAGATCCCCACCCCTAAACCATATATATTCTGGTTTGTCATGATAAAGCACATCAAATGAAATACAGGGTTAGTCCCCAGGGGTCACCCCCACCCCCTGCCAGTTAAGAAAGTTCTAATATCTTCTAAGTGGTCAAGATCCCCACCCCTAAACCATATATATTCTGGTTTGTCATGCGAAGATGGTTTGAATGATTACAGGGTTAGTCCCCAGGGGTCATCCCAACCCCCTGCCATTTAAGAAAGTTCTAATATCTTGTAAGTGGTCAAGATCCCCACCCCTAAACCATATATATTCTGGTTTGTCATGCTAAGATGGTTTGAATGATATACAGGGTTAGTCCCTAGGGGTCATCCAGACCCCCTGCCATTTGAGAAAGTTCTTATATCTAGTAAATGGTCGAGATCCCCACCCCTAAACCATATATATTCTGGTTTGTCATGATAAAGCACATCAAATGAAATACAGGGTTAGTCCCCAGGGGTCACCCCCACCCCCTGCCATTTAAGAAAGTTCTAATATCTTGTAAGTGGTCAAGATCCCCACCCCTAAACCATATATATTCTGGTTTGTCATGCGAAGATGGTTTGAATGATATACAGGGTTAGTCCCCAGGGGTCATCCCGACCCCCTGCCATTTGAGAAAGTTCTAATATCTTGTAAATGGTTGAGATCCCCACCCCTCAACCATATATATTCCTATTTGTCATGTCTAGAACATTTGAATGACGTATACGGTCAGTCCCCAGGGCTCCCCCCACCCCCAATGTTCTAATATCTTGTAAATGGTTGAGATCCCTACCCCTAAACCATATATATTCCTGTTCGTCATGTAATGAACATTTGAATGACGTATAGGGCCAGTCCCCAGGGGTTCCTCCCCACCCCCAATATTCTAGTATCTTGCAAATGGTCGAGATCCCCACCCCTAAACCATATATATTCTGGTTTGTCATGCCAAGATGATTTGAATGATATACAAGGTTAGTCCCCAGGCATCACTAATGCATATAACTTTACTGGACCAAACCAATTTTCACTGGACGTTGCCCAATGTCAGGCGACCCTGGGAATTACGAATTATGGGAGCTTCGTTTGGGAGACTTCGTAACAGCATCCTGTTACAATCATTTCTTGTTCATAGTGTGTCATTTTATGTTGTAATATTACACTACTGTCTCAGGTTAGGGTGAAGGTTGGCGCCTGTTAAAACGTTTAAACTGCTGCATTTGTATGCACCTGTTCTAAGTCAGGAGTCTGTTGTTCAGTGGTTGTCGTTTGTTGGTGTCGTTCGTAAGTGTTTCTTGTTTCTCGTTTTTTATATAGATTAGACCGTTCGTTTTCCTGTTTGAATTGTTAAACACTAGTCATTCTGAGGCCCTTTATAGCTTGCTTATCGGTGCAAGCCAAGGCTCCGTGTTGAAGGATGTTCTTTGACCTATAATTGTTAACTTTTTATACATTGTTACTTGGATGGAGAGTTGTCTCATTGGCACTCATACCACATCTTCTTATTTATATCTGATCAAACATGATGAAACAGATTTAAGCAAATCTTTCACATGTTATAGATTTAGATTGAATTACTGGAAAATTTACACAGTTTTTGGAATTAGTAAACGTTAGATGCCTTTTGATTTTTTATATTTTTCCAATTTGTCATTCTAGAGTTATGGGACTTTAACCTCCAGATTATGGGCTATTATTTAAATGTCATGCACTAGCTCTAGTATGCCCAGATCCAATTACTACAATCTTTACAATGTTGTTGAGATCTGTAAATGTAGGCTCGTGTTTTACTTGAAAATTTACTGATTTGTTGTTCCAGAGTTATTGGTCTTTTTACAGTAACATTTATAAGGCAACAATTTCAATATGTACAAGACAAATGTATCATGTGCTCATGGCACAGCTGTTTATTATTTTTTTTTCATCATTTTGGCTTTTATCTTGAACACTATAATAGATGGATAGAAAATTTGAATTGTAAAAATGCCCCTGCTATGTCAATGTTTAGAAAAATTCAGAGTTATGGTTTTTTGTCGAGCTTGCGACTTTTGTCGCAAAAGTGAGACATAGCGATCCTACATTCCGTCATCGGCGGCGGCATCCACAAATATTCACTCTGGTTAAAGTTTTTGAAATTTTAATAACTTTCTTAAACTATCCTGGATTTGTACCAAACTTGGACAGAAGCTTGTTTATGATCATAAGATAGTATCCAGAAGTAATTTTTGTGAGAAAAAAAATCCTGTTTATCCGTATTTTACTTATAAATGGACTTAGTTTTTCTGCCAGTTAACATTACACTCACTCTGTGGTTAAAGTTTTTTAAATTTTAATAACTTTCTTAAACTATCATGGATTTGTACCAAATTTGGACAGAAGCTTGTTTATGATCAAAAGCTAGTATCTAGAAGGAAATTTGGTAAACATTTATTTCCTGTTTTTCCGTATATTACTTATAAATGGACTTAGTTTTTCTTCCAGTTAACATTACATACAGTCTCCAGTTAAAGATTTACAAACATTTATTAGATTCATAAATCATCCTGGATTTTTACCAAACTTGGATAGAAGCTTCTTACAATAAAAAAATAGTATCTAGAGGAAAATTTTTAATAATTTTTCCCTTTTTAGCTCACCTGGCCCG